GGAGTGCTGTAACAATGAGAAAGTGCTCAGAGAGTGGGAATATCCATGGGAAGGAGCGGGGATGGATGTCCAGCCCTCGTGGATGCTGCAGAGGTGAAGTTACCTCCTGGTGCCACCGGCACAAACATTGTGTGCGAGGTCTGACAGCCAGAGAGGGGCCGTGTTTGGGGGCTGTGAGAGGGTTCCAGCAACCCCATGACGTGAGTTGGGAATTATGATATTACACCATTGGTTTGGTTCTCGGGGTGTTTTTCAAATCAGGGCCCGGGATCTCTTTGTTCTCCCATGTAAAACTCGGCTCTGAGGTCACTCCCTGCCTCGGCTGTTTATGAACGTCCTCACTGAACTCAGAGCCCATTTCCCACTGAGGAAGACAAGAAGCAGGTCATGTCATTGTCTGGCTCGATTGTTCTCCATAACTAATTGCCAGGAGAGGAACAGTTACGGGCTCGGAGCTTTATTGTTGTAAAAGCAACAATGAGAGGATGTGCATGGCACCAGCCACGCCATTGAGAAAAATCTGCTTTTCGTATTAAAACCAAATGAATGAGAGTGACCTGTGTCTGTTTGACAGGAAAATTGGTGAAAGGTTCACAGGGCACCCACCTGTAATGAGTGTTAATGGCCATTTCTGCTGTTGTGTCACCAGAATAGATGACTCTGGGTTTCTATGTGTGACAGAGGTCCCTGGTGACACCCCAAGCCTTCTGTGCTTTTGGCTTCAGGGTGGAGGAGCAGATTTTGGTGCCCTGAACTGCCATTTCCTTAAAGCTGCAGGCAACATACCCTCCTGTCCTGCTCCTATACATTGTTGCCCCGAGCTGTGGCTGCATTTTCTTAGCTCAGACAGAACTCTGGGATCCTTCAGAATAAAAGGATCATTATTGCAGCAGTTGGAAAAGTGTCAGCAGAAGGGATGAAATATTGTCCCGTGCCCTTGCCATACTGAACAGGGAATCTTTTCTTCCAGTGTTAGTTTAGGACTTAATCCTGCAAGGTCTTGTCTGTCAGCAACTACAATCAGGTTTAAGAGCATGAATAACCATCCTGGAAATCACTGGAAACTATTTTGTTAGTATAAAATTAAGCAAGTGAGGAAGTTCTCCAATGGACTTGGACCAGTGCACTCAGCACCCTGCAGAAACAAGCCTTTAGTTCTTAGAACCATTTATTGTGTCCAGAACAGCCACTCATTAGGGCTTTGTGCAGAAAGGTTGAATTTCACTCACTTGGAAGATATTCCCTCTAACCCCCCGAGACACACAGGCTCTGGTTGATTTGGAAAACAAAATGATTAATGGCATTTTACAAGTTTTTCCACTAAACAGATTTCAGTTGAAAGTCTGTCACAAGCTAAAGAACTCGCAGGAATAGTGTCAATCTGATGTCACAGTGGCAATAAATCCTATTGTATTGGATTACATTTTTACCCATTAAAATGCTCTGACCCATTGTCATCCAAGTGGAACCACATTCCACTGGCTGCTCAAAAGGTTCTGATTTCAATCCCGATTGTTGCCAGGGCAACTGCACCTCCATCCAAAACTCTGCTGCACCAATCACTTAACTCCATTTGAAAAGAGATAAAGCAAAGCACTAATTACATACTCCCATTGAAAAAGTCTAAATCAAATCTTTCTGAGACCTGAATAACAGAAGCTGTTTGAGGGTTACTTGGGTTTTTTTGCATGAGGCACCAATTGCCTCATTTCTTCGCTGAATAAGTAGCTGTGGCAACAAAATACCATGAAAAGATTTAATATTCTTAGTCTATCCAAAGCAGGAGTGTGCTAGAAATCTCACCACAGGCCACTCCTGGAAAGAGTTCTCTCTCAGTTGTGGAAAACTAAAAGGATTTTCATTAATAGTCAAACAGCTGGTTAAGGCTTGCGAGTGGAAATAGAAATACTTGAATTTTCCCACTGAGATTTCTGGTGGAAAGTAGCCTGTGTTTTATGGCATCTCCTTTTCTGAAGTGAACATCACCTCCATTGTTGGGATTTGTCTCGCTCTGAGCTGTCTCTGAGTGGGATAAAGCCAGTCAGAAAGTGTGCATTATCTTCATTTCACACTGCTCAGTGAACCCCTGTCTTGGTTTTCCCTTGAGGTGCAGGAAAACTTGTCTGAAAAATGGTTGTTCACTGAAATTGTCCCTTTTCACTTTGTTTCCCAGACTTGATTTTTATCAAATGTCAATTCTTAGATCTTCTCAGGGAAGTACAGACCTACTCTCCCCTACCATGACAGCACAGAGAAACCCAAAATTCAGTGGCTCCTTAGCTGAATCTTTCCACAGGAAATTAAGGGCTGAAACACTCCCCACTCTTCCAATTCTCCAACCCAATGTGTCACCACAAATAACATTTGAGTAGTTGAGGATTATTCTACCCTGTCTGCACTCTCAAAACAGGAATTTAACTGCTTTAAAAAGAGGAACCAGACAACAAAAATGAACAGTTCCCTGTGAAACGCAGCACAGTGACTTCTTGAGTTACAGCATGTGCAGACAGGATGGACAACTAGTCTGCTTTTACACTGGATGAAAAGATGAAGAATCAGATCACGCTCTTAACCCAATTTAAATAGCAAACAGAAGTCTGAGGTTGTATTTGTTTGCTTTCCTCCTTTGTATTTATCATACGGCTGTTAAATTGCACAACAAGTTCCTGGAAAGGGGTGTTCTGTTACCAAGCTTTTCACCAAAAGCTTGTGGTGAGAATATTGGTGACTAATAAAAGAAAGAGGGTAAATCATCATCCAGTCTAGAGGATCTTAGTCACCAGAGAACACTGAGCACGGTGAATTAGCAGAAACTCTCTGAGCGTGAAGTATTTTCCAACTGAACTTTCCCAGAGCTATTCAGAACCTCTTCTGGCAGAAGGGCTTCTCAGATTTTAACCTTTTTTTCTCTGGTAACATGCCCTTTGCAAAAGTTTTTTTCTCCAGAAACAGTTTCCTGGAGAAATGATCAATACACCAATCCCTGCTCTTGTTGCCTTCAGAGTGACAGATAGAGAGATCTTGGTAAGAACTTGTATTTCTGACATCCCTTCCCTCCTGTTGAGAAGAGAAGAGAAGAGAAGAGAAGAGAAGAGAAGAGAAGAGAAGA